AATAAATGCAGTCGGAGCATAAAATCAGAATCAAATTAATCAAATGCATTCAAACTAAATTCTCAATTCAAGCTCCCGCACACATGTTAATTTCTCAATTGATTCAAACTGTTCTTCCCCTGAACTCTGATGTCTTGTGCTGACAGTTCCACACAGGAATCACAGACTCTTCTAAAGCTCAGCAGCACAACATCACCACCGTGAGGAAGAACAGCTTTATCTGAGCGCTCTGCTTTGACATTTTCACTGAGCCGTTCCCGAGGCAGTCTAATCGATTCAAACACTCTAAATAAACTGTGTCAGATCCTTCTCTCATGGACAGAGTTCCTCTTCAGTCATTACGTTCACACAGATGTCAGCACACACATTCACAAATGTTTACCTGGCAACCGGACTTACTAATGATTTATACTGATTACAGATAAAGGTAGTTACAATTACATTTTTGCATCTATATCTTTAATACATCACCTGGTTGCAAGGCGGTTGCTAAAAGGCCCAAATCAAAAGAGCCAAACCCTCATAACTCTCTATGATATTCTGATCCCTAGATATGACTTGGGCCCTTCTTCAGTGCAATTGGATTTCTTCCGAATTGGCAAATATCTTAAGTAAATCACTTATAAGGGTTATAAAAGCATACCATATGATGAAATTGCAACCAGAAAAAAAATCCTTTTATTTACTTAATTTATTATAATTAATTAATGTATTAATCTTTTTGTTCATCTGATATTTTTGGCAGTATTTGCCCTTGAAGTACTGCTGTAGTACATCATCTATATCAGTAGATGGTGCCGTATGTCTATCACACCAACACATATAAATGTATGTAGCCATCTACAAATTACATATTTGCTTACCGTTCAAACATTTGAACAGGCTGATTCCAGACCTTTCTATCTTCTGATGGCATAAGGTGTAACTAAATGAACAATCCACCTGAAAAATATCATTTATACTGAATAAGTAATATTTCCTGCTAACACTGAATTCATCATAAGGTTTTTGGACCATATCTGGCTCTTGCAATGTCTTGTCTTGCAATGTCAGAATTACTGAATAATATCCAGAAATGTTTATATCGACAGCAAAACCATTTCTCTTTATTGTTGACTTTCTCTTAATAATCGCTTGATCACTTTGAACCCATAAACTGTACATCCCTCATACATTTCACTTTTGCTAATGATTCAATTAATTTTCATTACAGTGTAAAGGATTACTAGGGCTGATCAGTTTGAGGAAAGCAGGGATTTTAAAAAGAAGTTTTAAAAATGGTAATTGCTCACCAATATCCTCTTAAAAGGGTTGGAACGCGTATGCCCTTCAGACCCGTAATATCTGAACCAAAACATAAAAGCTCTATAGCTCGTTGCTAAATGCACCTAAAAATATGTCCAGTTGTGCGTGTGTGTACAGAACATGCTTAAAACTGTATTTTAAAGATTATTACTGTATTTTATGATTAAAGAATATTTGATTTAACTTCTGGAATAAGTGATGTCCTTACTAAGTTAAAACATGTTATGACCATATTATATAATAATGTGGCCGTAAAGTTCATTAAATGAGAATTGAACCGAAGAACAGCATAATCACACCAAACAGAAAATTTGGCCCAGACACTGCATTAGCTTTGTAAAACTTTCACTCTTTGCATAGCTTCTCTGTGAACACTCACACTTCTCTCCGTCTGTCTCCTTTGGGTTTTGTGGCAAACTTAGTAGAGTCGAGTGGTTGTTTGTTAGTGAAGACAGGTGCAGGCCTCACCCACCCACACACACACACACACACACACAGTATAAACAGACCCAGTAGAAAGGGACTAGTCTGACAGAATGCCTTTTCACACCTGACTGGGCCTAGCATAGGGCGACAGGCCAGAGCTCCCAAAGCACGACACACACACACAGTCACACTCACACACAGGGGTATCTGTACTGTATTTAACTTTGAGCCCTCTAGATTCCAGGACAGTTTAAAGGCCTTAAAGACCGTCTGTTGAGGGTGACTCAATTTAAGTACCTACACACATAAACAGAACCAGGGCAGGACCCAGAGGATGAAAGTAATGCACAAGCAGATGGACTCAGCCCAGCAGAACCAAGTGGACCCGTAGGAAACCGTCACACGCTATTTTACACCATTATAAAGCCTACAGGCTCACAGAAGTCCACATATGTCATCCACACAGACACAGTGTGCCGGACAGCAATTCACTGCGACAGCAAAAGGTCTTTTAGCTCAGATATAACCATTTTTTTTGGTAACTATATAGTTAACCTGAAATAATATTTTCTATTTTACGCCTGTAAAATCTTTAATACAGGATTTCCTTCAAACTGTATAAATCACCCTGCTTTCTTTCTTTCTTTTACTTATTCATTTGGTGTGTCTGATCTTATTTTTGATTCAGGACCCAGATTTTAAGTCTATCAAAACTGTATCAACACACTATCAAAATTGAATTACACTTCATTTTAAAGTGACATTACAGTCTAATTGCTGAATAATATTAATTAACTACATGTACTTACTATAGGGCCAGTGTTAGGATTAGGATTAGTAATTATGCATAATTTACTATTTTTACTATAGTAAGCACATGTAAAGTGTAACTATGTTACCAAATATTTCATATTTAATTAAAATGTTCCGATATAAATAGATTTCAGACATGCATTAATATTACCACGCATAAGCCTATCAACATGCAGAATATGAAAACTGATATTATGTTATATTATATGAAACAATATAAAACAATTACAGTGAACAACTGTAGCAGAAGCTGTCCTGTAAATCTAAATTAGACAATTGCACACTTGGGTTTTATTGTAGGAAATTATTTGTTTTAATTATGTTTTATTTGTTTTAATTATGTTTTATTTTTTAATTATATATATTTTTTATTTTGACATTTTTCCTTGCAGTCAGAATAAAACTGTGACCCACCAAAACCACTGGCATCACTTTATCACAGTTTTCTTGTAGAAACAATCACTTTAATAACTGGTATTTTTGTAAACAACAGACATGCTTTTTAAAGACGGATAATAATATTAGTTTCCTTCTTGGTGCCATGAACTTAATCAGTACAAACTCAGGAAACACTATTTTTATTCAACACTGAGGAAAGAAATCATAAAGCTGAGAAACAGTAAAAGTGAGGAAGATTTTTAAGACTTTTACCCCTCCACGCAGCTCTTTAACAGCCCTAGAGGCAACATTTTCTTTTCATCCCACCTTTCTTTTTTCTCTCTCTCCACTCTGCCACCCCGCGCACCAGGCTAGCGCTAACGATCTGGCCTTTTCATTAGGCAGCCTAGCTAATTAGACTGTGTGTGTGTGTGACGGGTCGAGTGACTGCTCTGCGCAGCGCGATGCTGGCAGCCCATTTCATGCTTTATCACGTCTTTTAATTGACAAACAACCTGCTCTTTTCTCTTAGGCTGAGGTCTATATTCCAGGAGTCTGAGTGGATGTGTGTGTGCGTGCAGATGTTTCAGTGCGCCCCTTGATGTTTAGCTGTGCGTGTGACTGTCACATGCCTTCTCACCCTGGTGGATCTTTGGGGAGAAAATGCTCAGCGAGTTTGCCAATTAACCACTTTCAGATTGTTCTGTGACGAAACGCATACACACAGATGCAAATCCTGAGAAAAGCACACAGCGACTCAATAAAACTTGTGTAAACAAATCGTGTCATTTTAAAAAGTGACAAATATCTCGGAGACGTTTCTGAATTCAGTGTATTAAGTGACTTTATACACTTTAACACAAGGCTAGTTTTTAAAGCAGCCCTTTGTGGTGAATGAAAGCTGATCTCTCCTCCACTTCGACACACATCAGGAGTCCACCATTTATACACGTTCACACAAATGCAAAACCAGCGGGACATATGGAGTCTTTTCTCTGCAAGCCACAGTCACGACTATAGTGCTCATTATGAATGTGTGTTTACATACATGTGAGGTTTCATTACACATAAACGCCTGTTGGCTTGACTGACATCTTTGCATTTGTCACGAATGACTCTCTTGATTCAGACGTTTAACACAAGTCGGTCACGTGGAATTCCCTCAGGCTGATTATGTATGAATTCGTACATAACTTGTCCTTCAGATTTTATATGAGAGACAAAGGAAACAAAGCTTACTGTAAGGTGGTACTGTCTCCAGATTTCTGGGCAGGCCTGTTGAGAACAGAAAAAGTCATCGTGAAAACCCAATATTTACATGACGTCTGGCAGTTCAGAAACACAACTAAAAATAATCACACAGAGGTTTATGATAATGCAAAAAAAAACAAAAATCCATGGAGTGCTTCAGACATCCATTAGGACATGAAGTTGAGACATTCCCCTTTTCTTTTTACCTTTGTTTCCATGCCTTCTCACCCTGGTGGATCTTTGGGGAGAAAATGCTCAGTGAGTTTGCCAATTAACCACTTTCAGATTGTTCTGTGACGAAAAGCATACACACAGATGCAAATCCTGAGAAAAGCACACAGCGACTCAATAAAACTCGTGTAAACAAATCGTGTCATTTTAAAAAGTGACAAATATCTCGGAGACGTTTCTGAATTCAGTGTATTAAGTGACTTTATACACTTTAACACAAGGCTAGTTTTTAAAGCAGCCCTTTGTGGTGAATGAAAGCTGATCTCTCCTCCACTTCGACACACATCAGGAGTCCACCATTTATACACGTTCACACAAATGCAAAACCAGCGGGACATATGGAGTCTTTTCTCTGCAAGCCACAGTCACGACTATAGTGCTCATTATGAATGTGTGTTTACATACATGTGAGGTTTCATTACACATAAACGCCTGTTGGCTTGACTGACATCTTTGCATTTGTCACGAATGACTCTCTTGATTCAGACGTTTAACACAAGTCGGTCACCTGGAATTCCCTCAGGCTGATTATGTATGAATTCGTACATAACTTGTCCTTCAGATTTTATATGAGAGACAAAGGAAACAAAGCTTACTGTAAGGTGGTACTGTCTCCAGATTTCTGGGCAGGCCTGTTGAGAACAGAAAAAGTCATCGTGAAAACCCAATATTTACATGACGTCTGGCAGTTCAGAAACACAACTAAAAATAATCACACAGAGGTTTATGATAATGCAAAAAAAAACAAAAATCCATGGAGTGCTTCAGACATCCATTAGGACATGAAGTTGAGACATTCCCCTTTTCTTTTTACCTTTGTTTCTGTTCTACTATACATTTCCAAGCTTTGTTTTGTCATCTTTGATTCAATGTACTGTAGAAGCGAAAAGTAAAACCTTTTAGGGCCTATTTGGAAACTATTCATGAACTGGTTGATGTTTTTGGAAGGACTGATAGAGAAAACCAGTTCATGAAAGTAAATTTGCAAATATGAAATGAATATGAAAATGAAGATAAAACAGTAAAACAAAAGAAGATGAGAGACGAGATGAGAAGTGGAGATGAGAAGTGAAGAGAAGAGAAGAGAAGAGAAGAGAAGAGGAAAAAAGAAAAGCAAAAAGGCAAAGGAAAAATAAAATGGAAATGCAAAAGGGAAAAAATATGAAAAAGGAAAAAAGAAAATGAAACAGTGAAAAGGGAAAAGAAAATGGAACAGTAAGAGGAAAACAGAAAAAGGGAAAATTTGAAAAGGAAAGGATAATAGTAGGAGAAGAAAGAGGTGCAGTGTTGACAGCTCAAGCCTCAACAGACGCTGAGCGAGGCTGGTTAGAGCATTTGCCCTGTGAGCTTCCTACATCTCTCTGAAAACTGAAAGTGCTGAAGGCACAGCAGCTGGACTCATTTATACAGTTAGCTTTTCATTGAACCCCACCTGAGAGCCGGGCAGAGGGGGAGGCTGAGAACTCAGCAGTCTCTGTAGGGTTTACCCTGCTGAGTGTATTGAAGGAAACATTCAAAATCTTTAAGAGTCTGCCTTCCTTTCCCTCGCTCACTGTGACAAGACGATACAGCAATGAAGCTATTAAAAACACATTTCCATACTGCCAAACACAAAAGCTGTTGTCTTTAACTTCCAGACATGTTTGAGGGCGCCAAATATTTTTTTCTTTTTTGTTCTGGGCATGAATTAAATGACAGTCCTTACAGTGTTTTTCTGTTTATCAGGAAGGTTTACTGCCTAAAAAAAATATATATATAATTTGTAAATATGTCAAATATATATATACCCAAATATAAGGATGCTTTGATGGGGGAAAATAGAGGTCTTTTGAACACTGAGGAACATTACACGAATACTGAAGCCAATTTGAAACAAGTTCATATGTTCACATCCAAATCAGCTTTGTGGCAAATTAAGCACAAATATTGTTCGAACATGTTATCAGAGTGACCAGTCATTTAATTTTCAAGAAGTGCTACAAATCACTAAACATGAAGAAAAAAAAGGTTTAAATAGAAAAAAACTTTAAAAATATATTTAAAAAAAATGTTTAAAGTAATAAAAAACATAAAACTGGAAAAAAAGTAGTCATAAATCTAAATTTTGAATTGAATATTTGAATATTTTTTGAGTCTGAATATTTGAGGCTTCACGCAATAAGTAAAAATCTGGCAAACAAGTTTGCATTCAGAATAAATTCAGTGCTCAACATTTACATATCCCAAACATGTAAATATCAAGAACTGCGGTCATTTATTATGAATAAGTGCGTTACAGCGAGCCAGAAACCGGAAAGCAAATGGACCGGCTGATATTTGTTAACTCTCAGAGTTCATTAACAAACACCACATAGCAGTTTTTGAGACTGGTGTAATTATAGATTATAAGCATAATTAAGTCATGTTCTGCTGAAGAATTTTTTGTTCAGTTAACCACTAAGCATTCTATATTTACTGCTTATTCTAGATTCATAAACAACTATAGAAGTCTTAGAGGATGATGGGCATTATGATTATGATCATGTGATGTGAGAACTTAACTGAGTTTAGATGATCAGAACAACTTTTTACTTTGACTAATCGAATGCAGCAGAATATCTTGAAGCAGGACTGTTTAACTGCACCCAAATCCTAAATGTGTTTGTTTGTCGTGTTATGCATGAATGGGGCCAATTCCGTTTCAATTAAAACTAAAATTACATTAAAACTGTTTCCCAATCACAAGACAGCAGATGAACAAACTTCAACTAGCTTTTACGGTGAGGGAATGTGTTCTTGTGTTCAAAAACACCATTTAACTGAATGAGGGGACAATATTTTTTACTTAATCTTATCTACAAAATTCAACGCTCATTGTGTGAGATGCTGAAAAAAAAAAACAATGCAAGACCAGAGATCAAAGCAAAAAAAACTTCACTTCAATAATCGATCCTGACTCATCCCTAGTTATAAAATATGTTCCCAACTTTTGTTTTAACAAGCTATAGCTTCTCTCTTTCATCTCTCCTGCCGTTTCTAAAAGTAACATTTCGACTTGTTTCTCTTCCTCCCCCATTTCTGTCCCTCTCGGTGGGGTTGTTGTTGGGGGTGACGAGTGGAGCGTGTGTCCCACTCACAGCCTGTGAAGCGTCTGTCTTAATGAGAGAAAGAACGGCCCAAGAGATAGATGCACACACACAAACAAACAAGTAACACACAATGCAATGCAATACAATACACTCCGAACCCACACTGTAAAAAAAAATTCCATAAAATTTACGGGAAAAAAACGGCAGCTGTGGTTGCCGGAATTTTACCGTAAAAAATACGGTAGCAACGTTTTAGGTTTTACGGTTTTAACTTAAATTTACAGTTAAATACCGTATTTTCATTAACTGATATAATGTTAATATACCAACCTATTGAAGTACTGAAATCTGTTTTGTACCTTTGTAATACACTGATAACCACCAAAAGCAGGTTTTCACCTTATATAGTAGGGGAATTTACCGTTAACCATTTAACAGGTTTTTACTGTAGCATTTTTACAGTCTTTTACCGTCAAATTCACGGCCATTTTTTACAGTGCAACACACACACACACATCTCAGCTCCATGGTCCACACAACACCAACACACACACAGCACTAATGTTACTCACGTCAAAGAAATGTCCGGTCATGCCACAGCGGCGGCAGCGTTTGTGCCAGTAAGCTCTCTCCAGACAGTCGTCATAGGTGTGGCCAGGCAATGAGCAGTTATAACAGTGACGGTTCGGACAGGTCCTCAGCAAGTGTCCCTGAAGCCCACATAATGAGCAGCATGGCACCTTCTGCTCACACACACACACACACACTAAGTCACAATAAGGACAACTTTGACTAGTGTTGTCAAAAGTATAGATGTCGGTACTGAAATATTAAAAATGTGACGATACCAGCATTTCCCGCTAGCATTTTGAGCAGATTCTTAAACAGCTCTGATTGGCCATTGTGTTCTCGCGCTCAACAGATATGTCTGTGATTGGCTACAATGATCATCGCTTCACATTCTTCACCGAACGCTTACACAGATACACACGGGAGCATTTGAAAGCCACGTCTATCAGCGGATCCCTTATTATCTGCTCATAGATGGATCCGCTGATAGACGCGGCTTTAAAACAGCACTCAAAATGCTAGCGGGAAATACTGGTATCGTCACATTTTAAGAATCTCTGTACTGACTGATACCGACATCAGTACTTTTGACAACACTAACTCTGACACTTTTAAGTTGCTATATGGCATTGTCTTTAAAGCATAAAAACTAGAAAACTATTAGGTTTCCTATTTTTTTAAGAATATTAAAATGTATTTTATCGCTGTGAATATCATCAAAGATTTGTAATAATAATAATAATAATAAATATCCCCGTTTCCAAGGCTATTTTGTTCAAATAAGTCTGCACAAACAATATTAACAGTGTACAAAACAGATTAAACTATCAAACAAATATTATTTTTTTAAAAAAAGAGCAGTATCAGAAGGACAGATAATCCTCCAAATTGAAAGAACACTTAAACTTACAGCTTAAAACCTTTTAGCCTCAAGACCCATGCTCATAATTTTTATAGCATTTATATATATATATATATATATATATAAAGGAAGTAGAGAGAATAGCATGGTAATATATGATAATATATGAAAAATACACAAATTCAGGCCAAAAAAGTTTTGAATACACTGACGTTCAAAAGACAAGAGATTGGTAAGACTTTTTAAAAGTTTTAAAAGAATCTCCTATGTTCACCAAGGCTGCATTTATTTGATAGAATATAAAGAAAAACAGTAATGAAAAACAGTTATGAAATAGCGACAAAATTTTAAACACCTGTTTCCATTAAATATATTTTCATATTTTATTTATTCCTGTGATCAAAGCTGAATTTTCAGCATCATTACTCCAGTCTTTAGTGTCACATGATCCTTCAGAAATAATCAGTAATATGCTGATTTGCTGCTCAAGAAACATTTCTGATTATTATCATAATGAAAAAAATTGTACTGCTTAATATTTTTGAGAAAACTGTGGTACATTTATTTATTTTTAACAGCATTTATTTGAAATAGAAATCTTGTGTAACATAAATGTCTTCACTGTCACTTGTAATAAATTGAACGCATCTTTACTGAATAAAAGTATTAATTTTCTTCTTACAAAAAAAATTTGAGCAACAGTGTATTAAATACCTATGTAGTACTGTTATTTTTGACAATCCAGTGAATTAAAATTACATATGCAAATGTTTAACACTCCACCCACACAAAAACTTTGACTCAAAATGAATTTTTATCTATTTTTATTTTACATCCAATGGTCTGAAATTTGAAAAACTTGATTCTGATTGGTCAATCATATCATTTTGCAAGAATAGCTCAATTAAATAGTTAAAACAGTTTTTTTGGCTAATGCGGTACTATAGGTGTCAGCACGTTCACTGAGTGGAGATGAGGGGATCTTGATCTTTGCTGTGGGACAGGTGACTGAAGGGTGGATAATGATATACCTTTGTTGTGGGACAGTTTTTGGAGAGATGGCCGGACTTGCTGCAGTTGTGACACGTGATGGATTTTTCAGTGTAGTAACGGTTTGAGACACGCCTCGGGCCAAATCCTTTATTACAGATCTGAGCCTAAACACACACACACACACACACACACACACACACAAAATGGTAATCACCTCCTATAAAAGACAATCCTTAAAAATAACAATTATTTTCTGTTTAATAAAATAACCAGCAAAGTATGTTATAAAATACCAGGATTATCTTTATATTAATTTCAGATTTGATATAAAAAAATAAATGCAACATTACCCATTTATCCTTTTCTGATATAGTCCAGTTCTTTTTATTCCCTTCATCTTTTGCATATTCTATAAAAAAAAAGAACAGTACATGAGAAAAACAAACTGAAACCATCAACATGGAATTAGATCAAACTTCAATAAGAGATTGTGTGTGTGTGTGGATAGTACAAGAGGCCCACTCCCCTAATTTGACCTTTTTTTTTTAGCTCATTCTCAAGAGACAGAGACAGTTACTACAGCAATACACAGCTGCACATCAACAAACACAGCACTGAAATACAGCGCACACACACACACACACACACACTCACACATATACATACATACATACAGAAAACTCCATTGAGTCCAAAGTAATGAAAATACACAAAATGCCTTACAGGGAACTGACCAAAGCTGACCAGGGCCATCAAATTCAGCATGACACCAACAATTATTGATGATACTTTAGCGTGTCACATGCTAACTGTACTGAAAATTCATAAAACAAAATTCAAATTCATATTTTCACACACAAAAAGAGACCCATTCAGACACACACACACACACACACACACACACACACGATACATATTCACACTTAAATGAAAAATAATAAAAATGGTCATTATGAAAACAAACCATATACATTCATTCATTAATGTGTTTGCTTTTTTTAAATCTACACACCCAACACATCGCAACAATGCCCCCTAAACATCCCTGAGGACCCCCAGTACAATAAACAGGAAACATTTCCTTTAATCCTGATGCCCCCCTTCTTTTTCTCTCTCACAGCTACACATACACACACACACACACACCTCCGTGTCTCTACGTGGGGGAAATGCCTCGTCAGTCATGGGCCAGCAGTCACACAAAGCCAGAGAAAGGAGGACCTCACTATGGTAATCCTGCCAGGCCTATTCACAATGACACACACACACCAAAGACAATATAATGTACTTCTCATATGAATATTAGCAATATTTTCATAAATCCACCTAATCTTCACATCAAATCCAAAATAATAAAATAGTATTTTTCCAATTGGCATCAACATAAAATATACACTACCACCAGAGGGGGCGCTAGAGAGTAAGCCATAACCAACATCACAAAAAACCCTTCGCAGCCAGACGGAGATGGAGGGATGAAAAGTAGAACAAGGGAGGGGGAATAGCAGAATAGCGACAGATGCTACTTGTACGTCTCATAGGTATGCTAATTAACATAGAACCAACAAATAAAAATACGAGGTGTGCGCGCAGGGGCAACTTCATCAGTGTGTGTGTGTGTTTTAATGAATTCCAGCTGACTAATAGTCTGAGAGAGAAGAAAGCTGGCGTGCGCCCGGCCACCATCGTTGGGTCCATGGAGAACTAAACGGATGTGTAGGAGAAACTAATTAACCATGAACACAAGCTCCCATTAGAGAGACAGAGACTGAGACTTTAAGAGTACTCTGTGTGTAGGGAACGGGCCACGTGAAAGCGTATCTCAAAACACAAACTGTCTGGGACTCTCGGAGTGCTTCCTCTCGCAGCTGAATCACGGTCCTGAACTAAACTGCTACTAAAACTTGTTAATGGGATCCTCCTTGGAAAATCTATTTAGCCAGTTCTGAAACGAACAAGAGGCCACAAAGAATATCACAGTCAATATACACTTTACGTCTCTTATGCTCAACAAGGCTGCATTTAATCGATCAAATACAGTAAAAAAAAGTAATTTTATTTAAAATAACTGTTTTCTATTTTAATATACACCTGCAAAGCAAAGCTGAATTTTCAGCATCATTACTCCAGTCTTCAGTGTCAGATAATTGTTCAGAAATCATTCTATTACTGTTCAATACTGAAAATCACTGCTGCTGAATTTTTTTGGGGAAACTGTGATGCATTCATTTTTAGGATTCGGAATGTAAAAAAAAAAAAAGATTTTATTTGAAATATAAATAATTTGTGTCATTATAAATGCTTTACTGTCACTGTTAATGTGTTTAATGCATCGTAATGCATGCATTTTCATAATTTTTATTATTAATCATTAAATGTGTGCAGAAACAGAGGATTATGATTCATTGCAGGGTAATGATATAAAGGGGGTGTGGCATGGTGGTTAAAGATTTGGTCAGTTTGTAGGTTTAAACCCCACATGATCCAAAGCCAATCAGGGCTGTCACATCACTTTCCTTTGTGGGTTCAGGTGATTGGCACAAAATAGATCGGTAACACTTTATTTTAAGGACCAGTTCTCACTATTAACTAGTTGCTTATTAGCATGCATATTACTAGCATATTGGCTGTTTATTAGTACTTATAAAGCACATTGACCACCCATGAGCCACCAGGAGCAAACATGGCAGATTTGAAATTTCATTATACATTTTGAGATGAATAAGTTATACTAACAAAAAATTTTCTCTAGGAATTATATGGACTTCTTTAGACTGATCCATGAAACACCACCACTGTAGTCTCACTCTCACTGACTATGGGCATAAAATTCGGTCCACTTTGTTGTTTGCAGCTTGCCATTTTTGCATGCATTATGCATTTAAACGAATTTGAGGCTCCCACCATCGAGCAAGGCATTTGTAATGAGACGTATTTCCAAATGAAGCAGAATATTCAATGAGGAAAAAAAGGTAGAGCAGGATGTTATTGACTAATCGGAAATGAGTGGATCATAAGAAGCAGGCGTTCAATACCATAACGGACCAAGACCTTGATGATGGATTGCAATCAATGGTGAAAACACAACAGTATCTACCCAAATACAGAAGCTGAAGGTCAAGTTCACCCTTAAAAGCATCTATAAGTATGTCAATGTCCTTTTCAAATTTCAAAGTTATCACTTAATTACTGTTAAGTGGCAATAAATTACTGCATTAACAACCAACATGATTTTAGAGAGGCTAAATCACCTACAACAGTAGCTTAAAAATGCTTTAAATCCTAACCAGCTATGTGGTTATTCATTTTATTTTCCCAGCTCATGTGACCTAGGTGAGTTTAGCTGAAAAAGCATATTACATACACTCTAAAAAATGCTGGGTTGTTTCAAATATGGACTAACCCAACCATTGGGTTAAATTTTTACATTAAATTTTTAACCCAAAAGTTGGGTTAGTCCATATTTGACCCAAAGTTGGGTTGAAACAACCCAGCATTTTTTAGAGTGTAACAACACAATATTACAAATATCTATCTATCTATCTATCTATTCTTTTTTCTTCAGAATAATGCACACTGATCCAGAAAGTGTATTAAAGGGATATTTCACTTAAAAAAAGGAAACTGTCATCAATTACTCACCCTCATGTTATTTTCATGTTGCATCTTCAAAAATAACAAATGAATTCTCTCAAAACTTTCACGCTTCAAAAAATGTATAGACATCGTAAATGTAATCGATATGAACAGTGTCCAGCAAGCAGGTCTGAACTTATGTTTACTATATTTGACGTGCTCTATGTGCGTTAATCATTGTTTATATGTGAATAAAAGCTTCAATTAAAACGGTTCGTGATATGAAGAATTTGTGTTTCTTCAGACACATTTTTGGGACAATGGACTTTCAACGGAGGAACATAAATTTCTCAGATTTCATTCAATATATTTTGTGTGTTTTGAAGATGAATGAAAGTCTTATGGGTTTGGAATTACATGAGTGAGTAAATTATGACAGAAGATTTTTGGATGAACTAACTATTTAAGTAAGTAAAGGGGGTACAGTGTTTGTAAAGACAGCACATAACATCCCCTACTAAACCAGTGACACACGCATCCATCCTGAGCACCTCTCTCCGCACTCGTCTCCCTTAACAACCTCCCTCGAGTGTAACCATTCAGCCTCCTCCAGCAGACTACCCCCGGCACAGGGAGGGGGAACATGGGACTGAACCCTAAAAAAGCTGATCAAAGCCTCAAGCAGGTCTCGCCGTTAACCAGTTTTGCGGGTTCTTTGTGCGGTGCTGTTGACTTCTGCCACTGGGCTGGCGGACGGGACAAAGAGAGCGGAAGAGAGGCCAGCAGTCAGATTAACACAGCCATACATAACAATGGAGGCCGAGTGTGTGCGACCCCGTGTACCTTTGTGTGAGGGTGTACGTTTAAGAGAGGGAGAGAGGGATGGGAGAAGTTGCTCATGTACAGTCCCACTTTTGGTTCTTATTGCAGGGCTCGAAAATATAGACAGCCCGATGGACCAGGGTCAGTGTAAGTGTTTAGGGACAACTCGCAGAACTGCCACTTGACCTATTTGGATAACATATACTACTGTTCAAAAGTTTTTTTTTTTTTTTTATATTTATTTATTATTATTTTATTTTAAAGAAATATGCTTATTCAGAAAAAAAAATCAAATAATTGCTGAATAACTTTCTATTCATTAAAAAACCTTGGGGGAAAAAATTATCGGTTTCCATAAAAATATTAAGCAGCACAACCACAAATCAGCATAATAAAATGATTTCTGAAGGATCATGTGACAATGAAAATTCAGCTTTGCCATCACAGGAATAAATTACATTTATTTCAAAAAGTAATAAGATTTGCTGTTTTTACTGTATTTTTGATCAAATGGTGAACAAAGTGTGTTCACCAAACAAGTGAGTAAAATTTTAAAAACGGCAGTAGTATGAAAGTTTAAGTATCAAAAACAAATCAGTAACATTTTAGAAAGTATGCAAAACTGTTTTTTGTCTGTATGAATTAATATTCTTTAGAGCTTGTTTAATATAATTTCCAACTACTCAATAAAATATAAATATACCCTATAATGTGTAATAATTACAATATATAAATAAAATAAATATAAAAATGTTACTAAGAAGCCTCAAATTCTGATGAAAAAAAAAAAAAAAAAAAAATTCAAAACTAAAATCCTTGTTTAGCCTAGTATTGATCAACACCAGTGGTTTCCAACTGATTTCTCAAGTTGTATGCAAACATATGTAGACAGAAAACTTATGTAGGCGGATAAACCCGCCTCCAAATGGAATGCAAAATGAACTATGGTTGGTCGCATTCTCTTCCTGTCTAAGTAGGCGTTTCTTGGCCAGAATAAGCTGCGATGTGGACCAGACTCTTTGCCGTTTAGTCAAAGGTCTGGCTATGTGAGACTAGCGATACAGAGAAGCATAGATGCCCCACAGAAGGGCAGACATGAGGGGTCAGCGGCCCTCACAGACCCCCTGACAAATACTTGACATGGACCACAGAGCAAATGCATTACGTCCCTATTCACCCTGCCTGGAGCAGACCTTAATCCAATCAAAGAGTGATCAAACAAACACACACACACACACACACACACACACACAGCGTTCGTGCCTGCTTGACCAAAGGCATGTCTTTCTCTCCTCCTTTTCCTCCACTTCCTTCATCAGCTAAATAATCTCCTCGCTCATTCTCATTTCCTGTCAGAATTCATCCCTCCAAACCGCTTTCATACCTTCTGTGCAGCCCTTTCACGCTCTTCATTACTTTTATGGCCTTTTTGCCATTTTTATGGAAATGATAGCAGAGAGAGAACAGGAAATGAATGTGGGAATGGGAATAAGAAATGTTGCGAGCTGGATTCAAACACTTATTTCCCACACAAGCACCATGGCACCATCTGCTAAGCCACAACTCCGTCCTCTCTGTTACTTCATGCCGTTTTGTATTCTTTAAACTTTTGTCTTTGTATCAGAAATGCCAGATTTACATCCACACGGGCAATTAAACTCTACTTGACGGAGGAGACGGAAGGCAGAATTCAAATGAGCGGTGCAGTGAAATGCATCATGGTCCGTGAACAGACCACAGTGAGTTAGGTGAGCAGTGGTGAATGTGAGTGTGAAAACCAAACAGTGTGTAACAACGCCACACTTCAAAGACAAAATACACACACAGGGGTACTTCACTACATGAGACTGGAGATACGCGTGCTTACAAACATACTCGCTAGCGTTTCACACTCGACTAAATTCAAGCATCCGGTTGGATCACAAACAGAACATGCTGGAAGAGAGGACCAGGACATGAAATCAAGCAGAAAGAGACAGACATGTTGAGACAGAGATGAAATGAGAGAGATAGAGAGAGAGAGATCTCCCTCTCGGTCAATACATCATGTACAGGTTGATTATGGATTACAGTGGCACATTTCATTTAGTTTCATTTCATGCTCAGTCTTCATGTTTGCAGCACTGCTGTGGAGCCTTGCAACATGGATTACAATGATATCTCTATTGCACACATACACACAACTTTAGCACCAAAAACAATCTTTGGAACACACACACACACACAGACACACACACACACAATTTCATTGTAGTTTCTGTTTCTATATTGTTTTTAAAGGAATAGTTCATGTAAATCTGAATTCTGTCATTAGTTACTCACCCTCGTGTCATTCTAAACTTGTGTGCCTCGATTTTACCAGAGAAACATAAAAGTAGAATTTATTGAAGAATCATTACGCAACCGTTGCATACAAGAACAATTCATAGTGACCAAGGGCCGTCAAAAAACTGTGAAAGAACAACACTCTTAAATATAAAGGTTCTTTATTGGCATCTATGGTTCCACGAAGGACCTTTACATTAAAAATGCTGCTTTAGAGTAGAAAAAGATCTTTCAGATTATTGAAATGTTCTCCACGCTAAGACAATTATTGTTCTTTTAACAGAATAGTTATTTTATGGCATCGCTTCAAAAATCCTCTTTTGGAAGCTGTGTGTGTATGGAAATATCATAAAAGTAGTTCATATGACCTGTGCACTATATTGCAATTCTTCTCAAGCCATATAATAGCTCTTTGTGACAAAAAAGGCCAAAATTTAACTCATTATTCATCCATGATTTGATTGCGTACGTATGCATTATATATATATATATATATATATATATATGCATATAACTATATAAAAACCATGACCATATCATAACCATACAAATCATAACTATACATACACAAGTATGTGTCAAATAACTTTTATGATAACTTTATAATCCCTCCCTTAAATAATAAATAAATATTTTGCAATGTGTATGCATAATTTGGGGGGGGGAAACTTTTATTCTTTTAAAGTTAAAAGTTTGGGTTAGTTGGTAGTAATTATAATTTGCATTAAAGGAAAACGGAAACGGAATATGAAAATGAAAGTCCTCATTTGGACAGCCAGGTAAATGCCTGTTAATGATGGCGTACAGTAAGGATACCCTCAAGTCTGCCAAACAATCTGACAATCAGTCCATATTACACCAACTCTGCTGGTACAACCCGATACTGGGGCATGTGGCCAAATCGGTGCCCCCTACCCAAGGTTCGGCATGGCACACAGTACGTGCTGCCACGATCCTGGCATTCCTGACTCCCCGTTTAAAGGGGGAGGTGGGGCAGGTGGCCAAACCTGTCTGTCAATGTGCCATTGCCTCTTGCAACCCAGAGGGGGCCCAATTACTGCCCAGCGGGGCGCGGTATGGCAACAGCATGGCAACCACACGGCAACCATACGCTCCAATCAGAGTGGCAGACGGGTAAG